GCCCCCTACTGAGCTCCTGCCCTGCTCCCTGCAGCACAGCGCCCCCTAGTGCCACCCTAGGGCATTGGGGTCAGCACCGACTGAGAGGGGAGAGTGCCCCCCACTGAGCCCCCGCCCTGCTCCCTGCAGCACAGCGCCCCCTAGTGCCAGTCTGGGACACTGAGGGCAGCAGTGACTCGGGGAATGGCAGGGGTCGCCGAATCTCCCGTCCTACAGCTTGCAGCCCCTGGCTCTGGCTCGGAGGTCTCCAGTCTCTGGACTAGCCAGGCCCATCCTGGCTTAGCCTGTCCCTGAGCGCTCTGACGAGCCGACAGCTCAGGGCGTGGTGGCGGCCGGCCAAGAGCGCCGGTGCTATGCGTTTAACAGCTTTCTGCCGTATCTATGCATCAGCCCCTCCGCTAATCCAGCCAGTCGAACATCCACACCGGGCCGGCTCCTGGGGGCAACCATCAGGCAGTCAGCCAGGGCGCCCCAACGGCGAGCGTGTCCGAGAGACCCGGGGCTCCCTGCCACGGTGCACCCCCTGAAGGCAGACGCTTCCCAGGGCGCACGAAGCTCTCCCTGAAACCAGGGCTGGAGCAGGCTGAGTAGGGAGGGAAGGTGGGGACCCGGATTGGAGATATTGCCTGTGTAATTCCTAGCTTCCTTCTCTCCGACAGAGGGTTTTATCACCGCAGTATCTGAGCATCTGCCTGCAGAGCATTTCACAGCACAGTTCGGTTGGTCTCTCAGCCATTGCCCAGAGGGAGATGCGTGTGGAGTGGCTTGTTTTGGTAGGGTTGTTGTTAAATAGACCTGTTGCTGTGTCGTTGTATTAGAGAAGGCTGGTCAAGGGAATGCACCTGGCACTTGGAGCAGGAGCGGCGGAAGCACCCTAAAAGTGTGGGGGGGGCACAGGTGCCTGAACCGTGCCCCCCCCGTGCTGCACCGCCTCCCCAGATCCCCACCCTTGCACTGCCTCTTCCCTCAAGACCCCCCCCACCCCGCTTGATCCTCTCTGCCCCTTCCCCCCGTTGCTCGCCCTTATGGACGGTAAAAAGTGGAGGGGCCACGGCCCCTTGGTCCCCCCTCTTCCGGCGCCCTTGACTGGGAGCAGAAAGTAGTGACATTTGTGGCAGTCCCTATTTCCTGGGGGAGTTCATGCCACAGTCTCAGACCACCCTCAAAGAAGGTTCTGTCTCCTGCACAGACTAGCTTTGCTGCTATTGTTGAGAGTTCATTGGGTCATAGGAGTGAAGATTTCCACCACAGGCTTCAATCCAGAGCTTTAAATGGTCCTTTAGATATCCCTGGGCCCAGCCCATGGAGTGCTTTGAAGATAAAGACTGAGGCCTTGAACATAACGTGACTATTCTATGGGAAGCCAGTGTGGGGAGTGGAAGATGGGTGTGATGGGCTCACCTATGCGTGAGTTTCTGAGGAGATGCATGCCAGCGTTCTGTACTGGTTGGAGCTTCTGACATGCTGACGTTTTCGTGCCCGGGTAAATCGCATTGCTGTCGTCCAGCGGAGAGGTGGCGAAGGCAGGAATCACTGAGGCCGGGTCTTCGTCGTCCAGAACGGGACGGAGTCTCCCAGCCGAGCGGCGAGAGCAGAAAGCATTACTTGTGGCCATTGCGATGGGAGAGCTCAGCATCAGCGAGGAATCCAAGAGTACTTCTAGACTAGTGTGACGATGCGGTTCTGGCGGAACCCACCTGAGAGTGCCAACTCAGGACAAATTGCTCAAACAGGGCAGTTACAGCCCAAGGCTGGGGTTCTTCCACCTCTAAGGCAAACCAAACCAGCCAGACTAAGAGGACTTCGGTCTCACCCCACTGGCTAACCGCAAGTCTCACAAGCAATCTCCTAGACACTCCAGTTTCCCAGTATCACCAACAGTGCCACTCGTTATGGGGACAAATGGTTATGAAAACCAATACCCCAGTAAAAGAAAAAAGGTTCTCCTGATCCCCAAGGACCAAGCCCCAGACCCAGGTCAATATACAAATCAGATCTTACCCACAAATCACACTGTTGCCAATCCTTTAGAATCTAAAATCTAAAGGTTTATTGATAAAAGGAAAAAGATAGAGATGAGAGTTAGAATTGGTTAAATGGAATCAATTCCATACAGTAATGGCAAAGTCTTGGTTCAGGCTTGCAGCAGCGATAGAATAAACTGCAGGTTCAAATCAAGTCTCTGGAACATCCCCAGCTGGGATGGGTCCTCAGTCCTTTGTTCAAAGTTTCAGTTTGTACTTTGGTCATTCAGTCCTTCCAGAGGTAAGAAGCAGGATTGAAGACAAAATGGAGATGAGGAATCAGCCTTATATAGTCTTTTCCAGGTGTAAGAACACCTCTTTGTTCTCACTGTGGAAAATTACAGCAAAATGGAGTCTGGAGTCACATGGGCCAGTCCCTGCATACTTTGCTGAGTCTCAAGGCATATTTGCCTTCTCTCAATGGGTCCATTGTATAGCTGATGGTCCTTAATGGGCCATCAAGCAGGCTAGGCAGAGCTAATCTCAGCTTGTCTGGGATGTCACCCAGAAGCATAGCATAAGTTTGCCATACAGACAGTATAGAGTCAATATTCATAACTTCAACTACAAAACGGATACACACATATAGTCAGCCTAATCATAACCAGTAAACCATAACCTTGTCTTAGACACCTTATTTGACCCCCTTTATAAAAGATTTGGTGCCACTACAGGACCTTGGTTGCACCAATGATCTATATGGTCCCAGTTTATGTCAATAACGTCACAACTAGGGACGGAACTGACCAATTGTGGATGGGAACCTTCAGTCGAAGGAGCCTTCACCATGGCTGCAAATTCCTCCAACTACTTTCCCTGTCCACCAGCATCACCTCTGTTGTGCTCGGGTTCAGCTTCAGCCGGCTGCTCTTCATCCCAGAGCTGATCTCACCCAAGCACTGGGCCGTCCTGGTGGTAGTGGTGTGGTCATATGCAGTGAAGGATAGATAGAGCTGTTTGTCATCTGTATATTGCTGGCACTTGAGTCCGTGTCATCTGGCCCGTTCACCCAGTGGTTGCATGTAGATGTTGGAAAGGGCCGGAGCGAGAAGTGACCCTGGTGGAGCCCCACAAGCGAGGGGCCTGGGGGGGAGGGGCAGTTTCCCATCACTGCTCTTTGGGGGCATTTCAGCGCCTTCCCCTGGACCCTGCCACCTCTCGGGGGAGCCAGTGGAAGCTCCTGGCCCATGGTGTGGATCGCTGCAGAGAGGCCCAGGGGCTGAGCCCGGATGGCTGCCCCTCTCCCCACTCACAGGAGGACTCAGCCATCAGGGCCATGAAACCAGGTCCTGTTCCGTGTCCTGGCCTGAAGCCAGGTGGTGCCGGGTCTCGCCTGCTGGCTGCCGTTAGAGGAGCCTGGAGCTGGCCTTTGGCTGGCTTCTCTCTGAGCGTGCCCAGGAACGGGAGGTCTGACACCGGGCGAGAGCTGGCCAGGCCTGACGTGCCCAGGGTGGGTTTCTCCAGCGTGGGCCGCACCAGTGCACGCGTGAGGGATGGAGGCGGATTCCCCCCCTGAACGAGGAGATGGCTGGTTCGCTCAGGGATAGTGCTGGGTCTCCCTCTATTCCCATCCCCAGTACTGTCCCCTGTAACCTTCCCACGCGATGGGATTCCCAGCCCTTCCCCGGGGGAGAGGATCCGCCAGAGCCGGAGCTGTGCCCTCCAGTCCTCCTCTGCTCTGGTGCAGCCCGGTTGCCCCTCCCCAGCCCTAGCCAGGCAGTGTTGCCACTGGGTGATGAGCGTGTTATAAATGGGGAGGGAGAGAAGGTACCGAGCAGAGCTGCTGGGGCAGCACCAGGCTTAGAAACCTACAAGGGAAATTCAGATGTTGTAGGGACCAGGGAGGGTAACACAGTAGAGGGCGTTGTGCTGCAGGGAGCAGGGTGAGGTGCTCAGTGGGGCGCTGTCCCCTGGCAGTCGGTGCTGGTCCCAATGCCCTAGTGAAGCACTAGG